ATCCCCACCCCTGGAGACATTTGGGGTTCACATGTCTTTTTTCCACCATCCCTTACAGAATAAAAGAAACCCTCAAACCAAAGGAATAATGTTCTGTGAATAGATATATGGATATTGTTACATATATATCAGTTACTCTTTTTCTTTGTCCAACTCCATACAAATTTATAGCACTAATTCCCGCCCTGCCGCAAAATAAAGTGGGGGTAGAATCATTGAATGTTACATCTGCATAAGTTCTAACAAAAAAAAAACAAAGGAAACACATACATTTTGGATTACCAAGCCCTTAAACTTAGAACTGGTACTATTTAGACTGTCAACTATGAATACACCTGTATGCAAGGAATTAGCCTTAAATACAGAAGCTTTCTCCTAAGGAGAACAGAGACAATGAAACATCTCTCCAGTTAAAAGGAAGAATTAAGATGACAAAAAAGGGAAACAGCATGTGCAGCCTTTACAGTCGAATGCCTTGGAATACAGGAAAATGAGAAACAGTAAAATGTACAGGAAAAAAGAAACACTATGTAATACAGTCCCCAAGGAAATTCATCTGGTGCTGACACTGTCATGTTTTTGGTGCCGGGCATTTGGTGCCGGGCATTAGTTAGCTGTGGGCTAACAAATGTGTGGTGATACTCATTTAAGACTAGGAGAGATTTTGTGTCTTTGTTGATGAACACATTTCATATTGTACTGTGTATATATTATGCTTTATGGTATTTATTTGTACTATTGCACAGATTATGGCTTATATTGATTTTTGCACATTATGTGAATAATGGATTTCTGAATTATCTAAGTTGCTTCATGACTGCTTTTTTCAGCAGGCATCACATAAATTTAAACTGTGACCATCATATTTTGTTCCTGACATAGACTATGAACCAGCCAAAATTAAGCACTTTTTTATTCCACTTATTTCAATGGGAGGGACCTAAGAATGTACACAACTTTCTCACTGACACCAATGGACTGCAGTAGTGCTAACTCTGGCACTTGCTTATGCCATCCTGAGGATCTGACTACACTTCTTGAGTCAGCCAGGAATGTATGGCATGGAAAACTTCATGTTTCTTTATGACTGTTGCACTACAATCAAGGTAAGATAGAGGGATTTAGATTGGCCTTCCCTGACTTGGTGACCTCGAGATGTGTTGGACTTAAAATTGCCATGCGGATTTGAGATGACAGAAGTAATAATCTCAGCATCACGTCGAGGAGGGTTAATCTATAAGTATTCCGGAAGAAGAAATGCCAGTATTTATTTTTCCTACTTATACTCTGCCCTGTCCCAAACACTAGAATATGTGGAAGAGCTTTCAAACATTAAATCTTCTATCAGCCTGTTGCACTAGAATGTCACAAGCACAGCAACAGATACATGACATGAGGTTTTCATTCTCTTTATCAGTTAAAAATATGTAGCATGGTAACTACTGAGACAATAGGGAAGGGCACTATAGCATTTATTTAGTTGAGATATATCCCATTTATAGAGTAATCCTAGAGTTTAAATTTTACTTATAGTATGGCTACTTCATGTACTCAAGGCAGTGTAATGGGATGTCCTTACAATTTCCTCTTGCTCACTCTCCCAACCCCTGCCCTTTGGCAGAACAGTTTCCCCAAATGTGGCATGCTAGCTTGTGTTTGCTGCCAGATTTGCAGCATATCACTTGTATATTAAGTAAACAGAATGGAAAAGTCAGGTGCACATTTAGGAAACTCTTCTTAAGTCACAGGAGATCCAATTTCTATGCAAGGTGGAATGTGATATGGTGACTGCGGGAAGTTTATGGAGGAACCTGTTCAGAATTAGCATCAAGCTTCAATGCAAACAATGAGCAGGACAATCCTGATTCCTCTTATGGGTAATATCTTTTTGGAGGCACAAGTGACATGAAGTCTGTGCCTGATGGACTCTGTCAGGCTTCTTTGCTTAGGGACTTTGATCTGGAACTATCTTTTCAAAGTCTTGGTAAAAAGAAAACCCAGTGATGTCTTTTACTGCACATTTCTTTGCTCTTGTCTGCACTGGGAGGTGTTTAATTAATTTCTCCAATTCTAAACATGAACAGTACTTCTAAGTACCAGATATTGAGGGCAAAAAAGGGGAAATCTGTGGATTTTATGTCTGGCTCTGCAGCATCCAGGCCACCTGGCCAGCTGCTGATGGAAAAAACAAGCTGAAGTAGACAGGCAATTTACCTGATCAGCACAATTTTTGCAATTTTGTCCATGAAATAACAGACTGGCAAAAGCCATATACCATTGTCTTATACCATCTCGGTTGACTGACCCATCTAGCCTAGAAAGTACCTTGATACTAAATAGCAGCAACTATCTAAGGCCTTTGGACAAGAGACTGATCTAAACTTGCTAATTGAAAGTAGCCACCACTAGTTTATATTTTGATACTGAGTTTTTTAAAATTGGGAGGTGTCATGTTACAAAAGGAATTGCTTCCTTCCAGGACCATCATTATTTGTATTCAAACTAGTAGTTTTAATTTTTTGATCTCCAATCCCACCTCTGCCCTGTACTTGGGTTCTTAGTCGCTTTTTTGTTTCGCCGGTTTGCCTTCTGTTTTGTGACAAGCCTGTTCACTATTCTCCTGGTCTGCCCACTCAGCAGACATTTTATGAGGCCACCCAAAACACCGGGGACCACTAATCAGATGGAAATGTTGAACCTGAAACATGATGCATTCACAACATGCGACGTGCCAGTGAACTTGACTTGACATGAATGTAGCAACGGGGCCATTAGAGAAGCATGACTCATTGCATTATGGAGAAATAACGTAATTTATCTGAGGGAGCCTAATCCATCCTGAAGTTGGTATGTTGTTTAAAGTCTGAAAACTTTTGACATATAGGCATGTCATAAGCCCATCTCATAGAATAGTGAGTGGCTCTCTTTGTCTCTAGCAGGCTAGATGCCTCATCGGTAAAAGATTCATGGGAAAATGGTTTTGCTGGGAATTTTAAAACAGGAAGGTGAGCTTTCTTATTATTACCTTCTGGGATGATTGACTGCCTACCATGGCTCATCCTGGGTGCCTGTTATTAGTCTGACACACATAGATCAGCCTGTTCCTCAGAGGTAGACTCACATTCCTTAGCCCTTAGTGTATTGAGCATTAACTGCAATCTCCTTTACTTCAGCAGCTCAGAAGCTAACCATGTGCTTCTTTCTAAGATGATAACTAAAGAGGCGTAAAGGGAGGTCTTAAAAAGGCAGTCTTTGATAAATTGGTGCATTGAATTTTTTTAAGTTGCTTTGGGCATTCCGGAAAAGTAGAAAAAGGGGAAGGCTAAATGGTTTTGTGCTTCTGCTCAAAGGAAGGACCTGTACATTCTCTGTGCCGGGATAGAATATCTGCATTGAAGCACCTTCCTGGAGACAGTAAGCCTAACATTCTGCCTTTTGAGGCCTGAAAGCATAGGAAGAAGAAACATACACCATCACATGCCACTCATACCTTCGTTCTTGCCACTTCTCTGGATTGTCCAAAAGTGTTCAGTTTGTAAGCCACTGGCTAAATCCAACACATTATTTCAAAAGAGTGCAAAAGAACACAAATACATTCAATGAGGGGTATTAATTCTCAGTGCTGCTGGGTAGCTGCATAATACGAAACTGGAGGCACATCCCAGTCAGATGCCTTTAAAATGCTATTGCTGGTCTGGTTTCTGATAAGCTACACAGCAAAGACAGCTAACTTACATAACTATTATGCCACAAGTAAAGCCACCAGTTAATGGGTTGGAATCCAACTTAGTCATTCTTAAGAGCCAAGCCACTGAAATTGATGGAACTTAAGTTAATCATGAGTCAACTCTAAGCATGATTGTTTGGATTCAACCTAAAGATTAACTCGCTGTTACCAGTCTTGCACATAGTCTGGCATGCATTATAACCTGTAACTCACTACCTCCTAGCTAAATTTTCTAGGAGGCATTGAGCCAAAACCTTTAGCATGGGCAACACCAAGTATCAGGACATTCACAAGATCATTCGCTACACTGTGAACATCAACTTGTGGTAGCATCATCAGGTTAGTATGGTCACATGAATCTGCTCAAAGGCAGCAGCACACGAGAACTTCCAACTCTTTCAGCTTCTCATACAGGCCTTGTTCACCTCCCTGGGGGCTCCTTCATATTGATAGATACTTGAGTGTACAGAAACAAATACGAACATTTGTGCAGATTATGTGATACTTATAAATGCACAATTGTTTTGCTTGTATTCCCTTGCTGAAGTCCTAAAAGAAAGATGGTGTGGACAGATTGCCTGACATAGGAAGGAAGGCTTTAACATGGGACTAATGATGCAACAGGAAGAGTTGGGATGAAGCTTATATGGAAAAGTTCAGCAGGAATAATTAGGCATGGTTTTCCTTTTGCCCTAATCCCCAATGCATGATCACCTTCAACTCCCTCATACTCAAAGGCCAGCTTTGGCTGCTGGTTTATTATACTGGTTCAGAGTTATACTACTAAAGAGTAAAATTTCATGTGAATGAAAAGCACCCAACTCAAATTTCCATTCCCATTATCCCAAAAGGAAGTGGAAGAAAGCAGTTAGTTTTCATCATCACTACAAGATCCAGACAAGTTTGCAATCCAATGTTAGGAACTTAAAAAAATTCTATGTAATGTTCCTTTAAAACCCTCTAGGTTTAAAAGGTTAATGTAAAATTCTATATATGTCCCACCCCTGAACAAAATCACAGCTGGAAATAAAAAGAAAGAAAACAAAAATAATGCTTGGAAATTACCACTGCTTAAATAATCCAGTTGAGACCTTTAGTTAATGCGAAAAGCATGAACTGGTACCTACACTGAGAACAGAGTAAATCACTGAGGAACTAACGTGAGTGTCCATTAGTTAAAACATTCCTAGATTCACTGGCCCAGTGCCAGATACTGTTAGATCTGTCCCCCCTCTCTTTCCCTCCCCACCCTCCCAGAGTCTTTGCAGTTTATGATAAATGCAACATTTCAGAATTGCAGTATAAAATATGGCCATTAAAAAATCCTTCTTTTCTTCTAGTCCTCCGCCGAGTTTGCAATGCAGGATGAAATCACCAGGGAGAAGGTTTGCCTGCCTGCCTCCTTGCCCACCTGAGCAATTTCCCCCATCTCTGACCTCTTCCTGAGGAGGGGAGGCAGCTGGATCACTTGGTCCCTGTATGCACAGTTGTTACTGTGGTCTGCCTTGACCTCCTCTCTCCTACAGCAGAAACACCAGATGAAGCTGATGATGCGAAACTACAGAGAGTGGATGGGGACATACCTGAAAGGTTAAAAAACAAAACAAGACTGAAGGCGCCAGTGAGCAAACATAAAGCCATTATAGTGCAGTGGTGAGATTAGTTAGAGGCCTTGGACTGGGGGTTCTACACTCAGGAAAGAACTACATTTTATGATAAGGGTGTTGAACCTCTTTCAGCTTGAGGGCCAAATTCCACATCAGGAAAGCCCTTGTGGCCTCAATTCCAGTGGTGAGTGGAAGAGAAGAAAAAGGGCCTTCGAACAAAATACCAGGACATTCAAGCTTAAAGATTTTACTGTCAGCAGCTAAATCTTAGGGTCAAAGGACTGCAACCTTTCAGAATGGGGGAAAACTGGCAAAAACCTTGGTAAACACCAATTAGTGGTTGAACAAGGGGAAGGGGTAGTGGACATCTAAGGAACCACAAAGGTTGCCTCGAGGCTCAGTCCCTGTTTTATGATAAATGTGGGACTACTGCAAAAGATGACAGACCCAAGTTAAGATCACCCCATTCCTTTCTGGAATGCCTAATATAGCTTACTTCATATTCTAAAGCCCTTCCCCTGAGGATTTCTATGTTTTATTCCCCAATCTTACAATTATGTAGATTGGGAACTGAAAAATGTATAGCACAGGAAGTTGTATGATTTGTGCTGGATTTTACAGATGGGCACTCAGGAATTTGACAAAGGGCTGACATTTTTGAAGGCAAATTCTTACAGATAATCTCACTTAACTTCTGCCTTCAGCTGGCAGCTACTGGGCCAGCAACTATTTCAGTCTGTTCTACATGACAGGGTTACCAAGGGGTTAAAATGAGATGACTCTATGTATATTACCCGAGCTCCTTGGTGGAAATGTGGAAGAAAAATATGATTATGAATTACTCTAATAATGGCAACCTTCCAATCATCCTGCAGAGCTAGGAAGGAGCACAAACAAAAGATTGATTTCCAGCCAGTCTTTCCTTAGAAGCAGTATCACTAAAGTGAATGAGGAAAGCAGTCACAATGACAGTGCAAATGTCTTGCTCATCTCCCCACAGCTATGGATTCAGTGGGGTACGTTTGCTGCACCTGTGTCACAACCAGCTTCCCCACAGAGATCAGGGAGAATTCATGCACTCCTCACCAAACGAACAAAGCCAATTAGTGGGTAAAACAACCTGCTCGCTTATATGGTGCCAGCATAGCAATTCTCTCAGGGAGATGCTTTGATCTCACCTTTTATTTTATAAAAAGGAACCCTTTTTAACTGGATTAATGATGGAAATATTTTTCATCCCTTATGCTAGAAGTCGTTGCCTTTTGCAATGTGGAATTAGAATCTTTTGCATACAAACCTCTAAAGACTTGCATTGTTTTTCATTCCAGAATTGGAATAAGATAGCATGTGGGCTTAGAGGAAGGTTTCCAGAGAGAGCTCCTCACAGTGATTACTTTTGGGAATATGATGTGTACATACAGTGCATCCTAATCCTGCAGCCCATGTCTTCCCAGAGCTTCAACCTGCATTGGTCGTTTAATTCCAAAGTCGTATAGCTGCAGCTTCGACTTATTGGTATGCAGTCTACCACTACCCAGTGCTTACCTTCTTTGACAGGAACGACTTCTGTACTTCCAATTCTAACACAACAGTGCTCAACTAGGAGAAAGAGCGCTACCACGGAGTATTCCCTATTTCCATGAGAGTTCTTTCCAAAGTAGTATTTTGACCTATACTAGCCACATGACACAGTCTAGTATCTGGCTACTTATCCCCATTCTCTGCTTTCTATTCTTTAACTAGTTGATGGGGATCCATAAGAGAATCCTCTGCCTCTTAGTCCATGACTGCCAAGTTTGCTCTGGAGTCTTTGGTGAGGAGCTTTCTCAAAAGCCTTTTGGAAGTCCAAGTAAACTGTCAACCTGATTGCCCCTCTCCACATACTCACTGACACTCTGAAAGAACTCTAATATGCTAGTGAGACAGGACCTATCTTTATGAAAGCCAGAATCTGTGCTTTCTGATTCTGTCTTTGGTTATGTTTTCTACCAATTCACCCAGAAGAGACATTGAGTTAACTGGCCTTTAATTTCCTGGATCCCCCAGATCCCTTTTTAAAGATTGGTGTTACATTGACCATTATTCAGTCCACTGGTAAAGAGGCTGATCTTAGAGACATAGTACATATTTTTCTAAGAAGGTTAGCATTTTCATATTTGAGTTCTTTCGGAATTTTATGATGGCTACCATCTGAGCCTGGTGATTCATTAACTTTTATTTTGTCAATAAGGGTGAAAAATTCATACTATCAGCCTCACTGGCTGGTTTTTTTTTTTCTTCTGATATATTTAAAGAATGCTATATTGTTAGCCTTGATATTGTTAGTGATGTGCTCCTCAAAACATTTCTTTGCTTCTCTTATTGCCTGCTTGCATCTTCCTAGTGCAAGTTTGTGCCCCCTCCCTCCTGTTTTTCTGATTTGGGCAAATGTTTCATTTCCTGAAGGAAGACTTCTCTCTAATCTCTCTAACAGCTCCTTTGACTCTACTTGTTGGTCATGCTGGTGATCATGCATACTCCGTGTGTCTCTATTATTGCGTTTTGAGTAGTCATCAAGCATTTTGAAAGGATTTAACCCTCTTGACTGCCTCTTCAATTTCCTTTTTACCAATTCCCTCATTTTAGAGAAGTTTCCTCTTTTGAAGTCAAATGTGACTGTTTTGGACCTCTTAAGCAATCTTTCACCAAACTTTATATTAAATAAGATAGCAATGTGACCACTGTTTCCAACTAGTTCAACAACATTTACCTCCCCTACTATGTTCTGGGCAACCCCCTAAGAATTAAACCTAGATTGCCTTGCCTCTGGTTGGTTCCGTGACAACAGTTTTACAGGCATTTAGCATATCAAGAACTTTAAGCTCTTTTTCAGAACTGGTACATTTATCCTGTCAGTGTCTGAGTAGTTGAAGCCACCCATTAGTACAGCACTGCCTTTGTGTGAGACCTCCCTGATTTCATTCTCCATCTTTAGATTGCCCTGAGCATTCTGGTCTGAAGAACAAGAACAAATTCTTATGATTAAATTAGCTTTAAATCCAGGTATTGTCACATACTATATTTCTGTTGAGGAGTCTGTGCTTTTTAGATGATCAAGTCTTCTGGACTCTATGCCACTTCGACATACAGAGCAACATCACCTCCATATCACTTTGACATACAGAGCAACAGGTGCTTCCCTGCCCTACCTATACCATTTACATCCAGAGATGACTGTATCCCATTGGTCTTCTCCATTTCACCAGGTTTCCATAATGCCCAGTGCATCTAGCTTCTCTTTTAAAACCAGGCACCTAGCACTCCTATTTTAGCTCTGTGGTTTCTAGCATTTACACAGGAATACATAAGCATTGTGGCCTTCTCCAGAAGGGCTTTGGCCTCTTTGGCTGGTTATCATGTCTCACCAGAAGCCCCTCCTACATCTGGGCAATCAGAAAAAAATTCCTCTTCACCACATAGGGTTGATTTAACCTGAACCAGATGCTTCCTGGCTCCTGTTGGCTTTCCTCCAGGGTTCAGTTTAAACTCTGCTCTACAGCCTACTATTGTTAACCCTATTAGTACATCTGGTCACTGGCAAACATTGGACACAATGTTTACTTTTTTCTCATTCTTCCCCAAAATCACTTTTGCTAAATAGTATTATTCACCTTTTAGCATACATAATTATTCCAAAGAACAGGGAAAGGAAGTCCTTCACTGTCCAGTAATGGTGAGGAGTTAGATTCTCTCTGTCATTGTACTCAGATGCTGGATTCCAAACTGGAATTATGCTCCAAGTATTTATGGCATGTGCTTCTTACAGGCCTTAAATGTTGACAATATGTCAGTATGTGAATGTTTAGCTCTAGAGAGGAAGCAGCACTTGCAGGCGAAAGTCAGTCCATTATTCAGATATAAGTGTCAGTTGTGTGGTCTAAGAGGACCACCTAGGAGACATGTTATGCTTTTGTAAGCAAGACAATTTGGCACTGGGTTAATTCTTTACATTCTAGGAAATACAGGCCAAAAATAAAATGCTTTAAAATGTCATAGGGGAATGGACCATAGCTCAGTGATACAGCACATGCTTTGGATGCTTTGCCTGGCAACTACACTTAAAAGGACCTTGACCTGAGACCTCGGAGAGCTACTCCTAGTTAGAGCAGGTCATATTGGCCTAGATGTACAAATACCCTGACACCTTCCTTTGTTCCTGAGCATGTAAGCACTGGAGATTCAGGGCCAACTCTACCATTAGGCAGAGTGAGGCAGTAGATGATGAGCAGCAGTGCCTACTCCTTTCCACACCTAAATAGCTGTTCCCTCAGAACCCCCCAGTCCTCTGGAGTCAGCACCCTGATAATGGCGATGCTTGCTTGCTGCTGTCGTGTGACAGCTAAGTGACCATCTCCCAGTATGTCACAGCCAGCAACCACTGGGAAATTGCCTGGCTAGGTGAGAGAGCAGAGGGAGGTAGCCAATCTAAGCTACATACTCAGCTGTGCACATGTGCCGCTGTCTGCTCAACTAGCTTCCCTTCTGTCCTTAGGATTGGCTTACCTCCCATGGATAATGACCTCCAATAGCTTTGCCTGCCATAAAAGTGCCCACCATCTAAAGCACTTGGAAGCTTGTGGTAGCGAACTCCTTAATTATTTATGGACTGCACAAATGACACAACTGAGCGCTACAATGGGTCCATATCAATGCCATGTTTTTATTTATGCTGATATCCCACTGAACATCTCAAAGCAGCCACTTAGCATGTATACTCTGTAAAGGAGGACTGTTTAACTACATTCTTACCAGCTTGAGTATTTCCTGCAAAGGCATCCAACTGAGTTACTGTATCAAGTGTGACTTCTGAAGAACTGACAGGAGAGTGTTGCCTTAACCTAGGTTGAGTGTTGCTGACAAAGGGGCCAGTCATAGGAGAAGATGACTGGGAGAGGGTGATCACTAAAGGACTGCTGACATCCAGTCTAAGATCTGATGGCCAGCTCACTTGGCTGGCAGGTACTCACAATCTTTCCTGGCTGGTCCATCAGATCGTGGGCTGGCCAGACTGAGGGAGCTTGACACGCTTACATTGGAACTGTCCAAACTGCTGCCAAGATGCAACTTTCTCATGTGTCTCACAACTGCTGTGGCATTAAAAGCTTGCTGGAAAAGAAGAGAAAAATAATAAATGCTGTTGGTATTGACATGGCTTCTGACATTTGATGAAAGAGAATAGATGGCATCACAGGGACCAAATGGAATTAACACTTTCCTCAGATTTGGCATCCTACTGAATCATTTTGGGTTGTGTTTTTCTAATGGTTATTTTAAAGACCTATTACTTCCTCATTATGATGTGGAAATATAGATGTCATTCACATTAAGAACTCATACAGAATAGGTACATTAGAACTGGCAAAAATTTCATCTCAAACAATAGTTGGTGTGCAATTGTGGGTATGTTCAAGCCGTAGTAGATTTAAAAAAACATGTGCAAAGCTGTTGTATCCAGTGCACATATAAGGCAGGTGCAGTTGGTGTCTGCTGCAGTTGGTGCTTAGGCATATGACAGAAGGACAAAACACTTATCTTCTCCATACACCCTTTTGAAAGTGAAGATGCCCCCTTGCCCCACCCAATAACTTTTCTTCCTTTCCACTCCATCTCTAGATTTAGTGGCAATCTTCTACAGCGTTTGTGAACACAAGGCTATGTAATGTAGGGATAGCTAGTCAGTGTTAGTTGCTATCACTGCTATCCACCACAGAAGATGTTCTCCTATCTGGAAACTGCTAAAGATGGCAAGAGTGACCTAAATTTTAGATACAAATCCACTGCATACCAGAAACCATTTCACAGTTCTTTCCACTACTGATGTGGTTAATTATGACAAAGTTCCATCAAAATCAATGGATCTCAATTGACTTGTGACACTGATTTAATCAGGATTTAAACCTTACTTACTTTCTTTGGTTCAAAATTAGTACCAACTATATATTAGTGCCAGCTCGTGGTACTATTAGTATACAGTTAAGATAATTGGAGAATATGCTTTTGGTATTGCAGAATTAGAATTATTGGGGGAGGATGGAGGTGGAGATTGAAAGATGCTGTCCCCCTTCTACAAGCTTCCTCTTTGTAAAGCCTAAACAGAAAGAGAATGGAAAATAATACGAGTCTGTTGCTATCTCTAAAGACCTTTCTCAGGGCCTGGTTCAACAGCACTTCTTCACAGAAGAATGGCACCACTCTGCCAAGCCAAACTTTCCAGCTGAAAACAAGCATTCTTCTAAAAAGAGGTGGAGAAATTTCCACATTCTGCTCCAGAACAGACTCCCTTATAAAGTTAAAAGTCAGCTCTTGCCACGCGTGCAAACAATTGAGAACATGACAACTTACTCTCCATTTGCTTTTTGCAAAATTCTTGCGAATCTGAGCACTGACGGATTCATGGATATTTTTATTGAGGGCCGTGTCACCAGCAATCCTGAAAAAAGATAAAGCAGTCATTTGATAGTATGTTTGTATTAGAATAGTCTTTTATAATGATCTCACATTTCTTTTTCACTCTTAAAAATACAGTGCAATCCAGTTGTTACTGTTGACTTCACTTAAGCATATCCTTACATTTAACTCGCTACTGAAGAAAGTCCATCCTGTTAGAGAGAACTAGTGTGGCGTAGTGGTTAGAGTGTTGGACAGGGGAGTTTGTCTAGCTCCCACATGGCCATGAAGATCCATGAGTGGATTTCGGCCAGTATTCTGGATTTCGGCCAGTTTTCTGGATTTCAGTATGGATTTCGGCCAGTATTCTGAGCATAATCTGTCTCACAGACTTATTGTTGTGAAGATAAATTGAATGGAGCAGGACTATAAAGCAGGGTATAAATGCACTGAAATAATATTTCTCACAGGCTGAGCTCAACAAAGCCCTTGGCAGGCTTCACACGGCACAGAGCTTGTGTAGTTAGGGACAGACCCTTAGTCAACCTACTTATTCTGAGGGGGCTACAGGAAAAGCAAGGTTCAGTTCATCTTGTTTATAGGACTTTGAAAGATAAAAGAGTAAACTGTATTTTAATTATTTGTTTTTTAAAAAGCAGAACTAATGTAGGAGCAGCCAGCCTATTCCACCATATCCCTGGCTACAGACCTGTTGAGGGATCCAGATTATGCTGGCCTGCCCTGGATTCTGGCATGTTTGTCTGCTTTCCTGCCTGGCTGACATATGTCCTGAGCTGGGTCTATTTCTCTCTGTGATCTGGGTGCAGGTGCTGACCCAGTATCTGAAGACAATAAAATGAAGTTTGCTTTTCTTGTATTATATTTTGCTATGCTTGGTTTTGGTCACACCCTTTGTGTCCTGGTTTGGTATCTGTAAGGATGGCATGTGGTTTAAAACTCCTTTTAATAATAGTCAAACCTTCACCAATGTCAATATAGCAGCATCAGTACGTGCAGCCGGGGCCAGCTCTAGTATTCTGTGGGCTAGAGTATCAGGCATAGGAATGGAAAGAGTGGCAAACTGTGCCGCTCTCCTGGCCTTCTACCCATGCCATGTAGGCCCAAAAGCCTCTGCTGTCTCCAGTGGGTGTTCCAAAGAGCTTGCCAGCCACTCTCCTGCTTTTGATTTGCCACAGCAACAATGCAACAGGTAGGGCTCTTTAGAACAACCTGCTGGGTACACCACCAGCTGCCCACGTCTTCTTATGGTGGTTAAGAATGGCAGCAGTCCTACCTACCTACTACCTGTTTGGTCAGCCAAGCTGACCAGCTGCTCTCTGCCTTGGCTGGTTGGTTGGTTGCTTGATCCTGCCTTGTGTACCAGCCAGGCTCTCACAAGAGATCAGGTGTTCTCTCATGATAGTTCAGCAGCCCTTCAGCTGGGATGCAAGGTAGGAATGACTGAACGGACAGGGCGGCCAGCTGGCTGAGTAAGCAAGGAAGCAGCCAGATGGACAAACAAGCTAGTGGTTGGGTAGTGGCAGCAGCGACATAATATATTGGACTATGCCTGGTGCTGTGCATGATAACATGAGCAAAGAAGTCAGGTCTCTGCTTCATGGAGCCTACAGTCCAAATTTTGATAGGCAGGTAACAAAGAAAAGGAAGCAGTATTTGCAGAGGGAGATGAGGAGAGGAGAGGAGAGGAGAGGAGAGGAGAGGAGAGGAGAGGAGAGGAGAGGATGAAAGGAGCCTCTAAGGCCATTGAGTCCAAGCCCCTGCTCCATTTCCACATGTGGTCACCCATCCGACTGCAGGTCTGTGCCTTTTCAGCTTAGCAAAGAGGATTCAACATGCTAGTTTGACATATAATTATGAAGGAAAGATGGGAAGGAATGGGAGAACAGAAGGTACATGTGAGCAAATACAGACATACTCGTACATACTTGTTCTGGGAAAGGATGAGGAGTTTGTCTGGCATGTTTTCTGCTCAACAGTTTGCTGAGCATCAGAGATTTTCTTTCTTCCACACACAGTGGAACCAATGTAGCTTTAATAGATTCATGCTGGGCCAAAAACTGGCAGGTGAATTTTTTCCTGTCTCAGTCTCCAAGTGGGGATAGTGGGGGGAGCTCTACCTATTCAAATTCTCCCAGTCATCTCTATATTAAGGGCCTACAAGTAGGAACCTTGGCAGGAAAATGATGGCAAGGCCCTTCCTGAAGTTTTCTTCCTTTGACATAAAATCTCAGCTTGACTGGCTGAATTGCTATTCATCATTTTTCTGCCTCAAGACTTGCAGCCATTTCCAAAGAGCTTGTTTGTGTTGGAAATAATCTCTCAAGCACTGAACTAACAATACATAGTTTTTCATCAAAATGAGCAATGAACTTGCAACCAACATAAAAATGGCACACGTAATCTCACCCGCAAAGCACAGCCTGTACAAGATAGCCCAGTCCGTAAGGGATAGACTCTTAAAATATTCCAGCTCACTACACACGAAAGGATATAGTAAGCTTTATGTGGTAATGTATAAATCAATGAAATTAAGATGTTAGCAATAACCATAATGGAACAATCAAGCACAAGTTTGAACCCATGAAGTCAGCAAAGAGTTGGGGATGAAGATGAAGGAAGGTGCTGTCAATCAACTGGCCAATTGGGATCAACTAAAGTTACCCAAAGCTTGCCCAAATCCTTCTGATAACTTAGGTGAGATGCAGAGCGGGATGCCTACCACAGTCATGCAAAAAGCAGGTTGCTTACCTGTAACTGATGTTCTTCGAGTGGCCATCTGTGCAGTCACACATATGGGTGCTGTGCCTGCGCAGTGCCTTTGGCCGGAAGATTGAAAGCTAACGGTTTTTGGCGGGAAGCTCCGCTCCCCTCCCCCCATAGGCTATAAAGAGCGGAGCGTCCGCCATTTGTTCAGTCTTTGACGACCGAACGTGCGCCCCCTTGTGGAAAAATTCTCAGTATGATATAGGAAAAAAGGGATCGGTACCAAGAAAAAATGGGAAACTTTCGGTACCGATGAATGAGTCCACTCACCGACACCGAGCGGGGCCGGCGGGTGGGTTGTGTGACTGCACAGATGGCCACTCAAAGAACATCAGTTACAGGTAAGCAACCTGCTTTTCTTCGTCGTGGCCTCTGTGCATCACACATATGGGTAGATTAACAAGCTTACCATCAAAGGAGGAGGGAAGGTGTCCTTATTGTAGGACGGAGGAGAGTACAGCTCTACCGAAAGAGCAGTCCCGTCGAGCCCGAACATCGAGACGGTAGTGCCTGGCGAAGGTGCAAGGGTTCGCCCAAGTAGCGGCTCGGCAGACGTCATCGATCGGGACTCCGGATGCGAACGCAGAAGACGTAGCGACAGCTCTAGTAGAATGGCCTCGGGGAACTGTAGGCAGTTCGAGCTTAGCTAACTGGTAGCACAAAGTAATAATGTGGACTATCCACTTAGAGAGCCTTTGAGGAGTGACTGGGTCACCCTGATCTCTAGTCGAATATTTAATGAACAGTTTATTGGATCGCCGAATAGACTCCGTTCGCGATCGATAAAAGGCTAAACAACGCTGAACGTCGAGGGAGTGCAAGGATCTTTCCAAGGGATTCGATGGCGATGGAAAAAAGGCAGGCAGTACAATGTCTTGTCCTGTATGGAAAGGTGTAGAGACTTTGGGCAAGAAAGATGGGTCGAGACGTAGAACGACCTTTTCTCTGTGGAAGTTCAGATAAGGGGGGTCGATGCGGAGGGCACAAAGCTCACTAGCTCTCCGGGCTGACGTGATAGCTACAAGGAACGCCGTCTTCCACGAAACTAATCGGAGATCCACAGTCGCCAAAGGTTCAAAGGGGGCCCTCATAAGGGCCTGTAGAACTACAGAAAGGCTCCACGTGGGCATAACCGGTCTAACCAATGGATTGAGGTTATACAGTCCTTTCAAAAATCTCTTGAGAATAGGATGAGAAAACAGGGATGATCCGTCGACTAAGCCATGGTAGTAGGCTATTGCGGCCGTATACACTTTAATAGAAGACGGCTTCAGTCCAGAGTGATGCAACTCCAGAAGGAACTGAAGAATTTGATCAATTGATGAGACAAGCGGGGAGAACGAATGAGA